AGGTGCGTCAACTGTTGGCCAACACTCAAAGACGCATAAAAGGGTCGCATAAAGGCAGAGAGACTGAGTGTAGTGAGGTGGCATTTGTTTTATTTCGCATACAAGAGTGCACCTTAATGGAGACCTTAAAATATCTATACTTAGGCAGTTAATGGTGGAAGGTGAGGGGGCCGCGGAGGGGGGGGGTGACGGTAGATTTTCGTTAAGTCATACTCACAGCGTCAGCTCACAGATCCACTCTCCGGGGGAGCACAGAGTGATGCGTATTCACGCGCGGCTACACAAATGAGGCGAGCAGATTCATAAAAACGCACTTCCATCAGGAAGCCTCGTCGCGCGTTAGTCATTTGTGGCGCTGATTTCCCCAGTAAAATGGCCTCAGGGCTATTTGGCTGGCGCCGTAGACGTTTCACTCTCTCTCCCTTTCTTTGAACGACGGCTAGTAAGCCAGTTTGGGCAGTCCAAAACTCCCTTGGCCTCTTTTTGGTACTCTTCCTTCGCCGGTCGCTATGTGATCCCTAGGTTTGAACAGCAAGGCGCAACGGGAAGAATAGGTCAACCAACCTGATCGATAATGCGATCTCACGTTAAGAACAAGTCAAGATAAGCCCAGCAAGATGACCAGGCTGCAACGAACTTACCTACCTACATCGATCAGTAAATAATAAAGGTTGTGGGTCAAATATCAGCTATTGGTACCGTAACTCACATCAGTTGCAGAGTTCCGTGTAACACTTAATACACGAATTCAAGCAACTAGAGATAACAAATAGAATCAATTTTAGAAAGTTCTGTAAAAATAAAAGTGTGGTAAAGGGCTACCAGACATCTTCGCGGGGTAGAAAGGTTTGTTTGCCTGGCCTTTCGCATTCTCACTAGAACTCGACAGTTTGGCAGTCGCTGTCGATGAGGTCCGCCAGGTATTTCAACAAGCTGAAGCAATGTGACGAGCCTGACTCTCAGTCCGCAGTAAGCCACTCCACACGACAAGACACGCTGGGCTGACTGTGGTGTCCAAACTATCCCATCAGTTGGCAACCCTCCAAGCCACGCCTTTTAGCGCACCGTGATAGCGCCAAGCACGTCATAGTGTTTTTAGTGAGGAAAGAAATGCGTTGAGGGTCGACCTCACTCTCCAGCCACCGCCTAGCAGATCGGTCGCCCGAGGTGGGATGGGCGCAGTGCTAAAAAGGAAAATAAGCCAGAGGTGAGTACTGTAGAGTAGGCTGGGCAAGGGAGGAAGAAAAGGAAAGGAAAAGAGGACGAGCGACAGAGGGTAGGCGAAGTAAAGGAAGAAAGACGAGAGACAAACAAGAAAGGGAATCCACCACCACAGATAATCGCAATTAACAACTGTGACGATCACCGTTGGGGAGGAGGGTTCGTACGTGATGCAGTGACGGCTCGGCAGTCCACGTCCGAGTCATTAATTTCCGCGATTTCATCATCCATGTTGCCTGTTCGTTTCTGCCAGCAGTATTTAGTAATTCCGGTCGCAAGGGACAAGAAAAGTACCCGTAGCTGAAATTTAGGGCGTAAACAACGCCCAGGGATAGATGAATCCGGATATAAATCCTGACTTAGCCAAACCGAGTTTTAATCATAAAATATTAACAAACCCTGTCTTACTCTTTCATTATCAATGCAACTGTACACGCCACATGATGAATTGCCGAAAAAAGGTGTTTGCTCAAATAGACTTTTCCAGAATGATTTCGTTTGTAGCACTTTGCTATGGGAAACAGCCTACTCCAACTTAGGAGCTTTCCAAAGTCATGGAGACAACGCATCAGGTGGTTTCGGCAAGGCGCAGTCAGAACTTTCTTATCGGAAGCAGCAAAGGTGACGTAGGCGGCAGAACGTCATAGAGGTCGATACAGTGTCCGCAGAAAATACTTACTTGGCCTCGCCGTCATTAGGGCCACTCTATACATAGCATCTATCCGAAGAAAAAAAGTACCGTCTGCATAAAAAGCCACTGTACATGAGGTGGCCGACGTTGACGTCAGGTGGCGATTACATGTTACGCTCACATCCTGGTGACAGTTGTTCACTCCGTGCACGTGAAAGTGATTTTCCCGCCGCGTACTCAAACCGTGACGACTACTCATAACCCACCCTATTTTCCGCCTTCTCCCCCAGTCCAACGACCGCTACATGCCGACATCACCAAGCGGGCGGTGCGAACGACGATGAGTTGTAATCATGAGACATGTATTAACCCTGTCTAACTCTAATATTTTCATCAGCACTGCAACTGTGTAGGCTCGTCAAAGTGCCGAAAAAAGTATGCTTGCCAGATAGAATTTTCAAGGTAAACCGAAAAATATTAACATTATTCTGCAGCTGAAGCTCCGTGTCCTCATTTAATTCCATCGACTGGTTTGGGCGAATTAGCCGACGTTTAAAAATTGTCCCTGTCTGTGTGGGAAACTCGATATACTTCATTGAGAGCCAAAAGGGCGCTAATTCTGCCTTCTTGCCTCAGCCTCTATCCTGTCGAGCTGAGAGTTGTCGAATATCTTAGCCTGGCTGTAATGTTATGTTCTTTTTGTTAAAACTGACTTCTGTCACCGCTCATAGATGTTACAATGTATTAACTTCCACGCCTATTCGACCAGTCTTCCCAGGCTAATTTTGGAAAAATCCAGATATTTATTTTGAAACAATAGTTACGAGAAGTGAAACGGGATCAGGTGCTTCGAAAATGCCACAGAGTTAACGTACCGTACTTGGAAAGCTTAAATTGGCAAGTAGCTGGAACAAAATGAACTACTGATGGGCGGTTTCCGATTAAGCAATTTCTGTTCAGTGTGCCTAGCAGCCCCGACCAGAATGGTCTCAAGGCCAAATTCCACAATAGAGTAGTCGCCGTTTATTAAGCCCACATCGGGCCCAGACCAAATTGGACTTAATAAGCGGCTGGGCTTATTAACCGTGGGCTTAATAGCCGGTGACTACTGTACATAGTCAATCGCCATGATTTTTATAAAGCCATTTGGAAAGAATGGGTTTGGAACTTTCACTGGAAGGAAAATATCTGTTTTAAGTAATCTTCGTGATGTTTTCGTCAACAAGAGTAATTCGTGTAGCGATACAAAAATCTTTTTAAGCGGCTTGTATTGCGCTATTTTCCATTAATGTGTCACCTTTCTCACTAACACCATCACAGTTAAAGCAGTTTTGTCTTATTTATAAATCGCATTGAGAGTTTAAAGTCAGGGGTATCCCAGATTTCTGCGTTGGTCATCCTAAGTACACCCTCCCGCGCGCAATGCTAGACAATGTGTGTCAAGTGACACTCACTGATGAAAATTCACCGACCGCCAGTGGAAATCATTTGCCCCGCCCTGCCTTGGGTCTCATTTCTGGGGCCCTCACAGCAGCCACATAGCGGCAGATAGTATTACCGGCAAAGACAAAGGAGCCTAGGATGGCCATTTCTGGCGTATTAGACGTCGTCAGCCAGCCATACCCAGCTCCAAGTGGTACAGCACCCGAGGCTCGAACTCGCGACCTTTTCGATCAGAGTCTGACGTTCCCATCAGTGAGTCATGAGCTCGTTGTCTTATCACTTCCCCGCACTTTTCTGTGCCAAACTGTACTTGTTATCTCTCAACTCAGCAAGATATGCCGACCTGAGGGAGAAGAATGTCTTTTCTCTCTGCCTGCCTGTCTACCTGCCTGCCTGCCTGCGTGTGTGCGTGTGCCTGGCTGAAGAAGTTTTCAGCAGCATAAATCCTCCTTCGTTTTTCCCCCTCATTACAGCGCGCCACTGCGCCGCCACCGTCGCTGTTTTACTACTAGGCAGAATAAATATCACTCTT